ATATGAGAAATCATGTGGACTGTTACATTGAACACATTATATGGAACATTCTCCGAATATATAACGATGTATGAATAAAATGTTTAACGATTATTTAAATGTTCTTACAGTCTGAAAATATTTCGGGACATTCTGAAATATTCTTGGAATTAAGGATGCATCGGATCATAAAATTACTGGATATCAGATATCCGATATCCTCCCAGCAAACGAGAATGGATTGAAATGAATTGAAATGGATTCAGATTTTCAGAAATATTGATTCATGAATGTTAAAATGAATGTTTTTCAATTCTGAATGCATTTTTATTCATTTATAGGAATTGCATGGAGCATATCTCTATGCCTTTCAATCTAAAAAAAAATATTAGCTTTTCCTGTGCACACAGACACAATTGTGAATACTGTTCAATTCAAAATTTTGAATAGGAAATGTAGTTTTTCAATCCAATTGCATCCAATTGAATCTAATTGAATCCAATTGAATTCAATTAAATCCAAAAAAAAGTATTCGCTATTTAAAATACGGATAGAAAAATTCGGATAGAAAAATATTTCAATCCATTTTAATCCATTCTCGCTAAATCATCGCATATCCGAGAAGGTAATTTTTTCGAGTCGGATATTCGACATTTTCCAGATATCCGATCGAAATCCAAGTGTCTTAAAAAAAAAAATAAAAATAAAAAAAAGCTTATAGAGAAAAAGATTGTAATTTTGCAATAATGTATAAGATATTATAGCATTATGACTATACATATTTATTTCTCGAACATTTGTATAAGAAAAAAATTAACAATTTAATCGGATGTGACATCAAATCGGATATATTCCCGGATATCTATTAATGATATCCGGCTATTCGATCGAATAGTAAAAAAGTGCCGGATAATACCGGATATTCGGTGGATCCCTACTTAGAATATTATTTTCAGATTTTATAAATACATTTCAATACATTTCAAATATATATATTCTTAGCGTCAGCTGGCATTTTTTAATCGGTATCGACCGCGATAAGAGCTTAGGATTGATCGATGGAACGAACGGTGCTCTTATTGACCGACAGATAATTCTTGGAGCAAAGATTCGCGGGCGCTCGCGCGACGACATGAGGCCGCGAGGCGCGGCAGTCGGACAGTCGTGTCGGGACCACCGTGCAATGTGGATGTCGTCTCGCATTTCGCGTGTCAACATCTCGCGGTTTCGATCGGCGCCGTACTTACGTGCCAGTGACACTTGGCGGCTTGCTGCCCGCGGGCAGGCATGCGGGAGCGACGCTGAGAGAGATAGATACATATCCATATATCTGTAAACACTCTACTCGCGTGGCGCGCGATCAATCCACCGATTGCCGATCGTCGCCGTCTGTAAGTCGTTGATTTTTATTGTCGCCCACGTTTCCTTGCGCAGATCGGATCGGATACAGGCAGATCGGATCGGTGAATTACGGCGCATACTTGCCCGAGTTTTACGTTATTAGAGGAAGAGGAAGAAATTGGAGCTTCCGCGATCGACCGGTTGTCGGCCCGCCCACCGCGAGGAAGAGCCGCGGACCTCGGCGCGGACATCGGGAGACAGAAGTGCCACCGGTGTTTTCGCCTCCTATACGTACGAGAGTACCTAAGAGCAAACGAACTCTGACCTGTAGCAACTCTGCGCGTTTCGCAGCGTTTAGCAATATTCCAGAGGAACGATCTCGGTATTCTCGATTCACCGACAGCGCGCGGAGCTGGGCGAGCAGCCGGGAACCGTCACTATCACCACCGTCGCTGCCGCCGCCGTCGCCGCGAGGAAGTGAGTAAATTTTTTGCATTGCTTTTTGTGTTCTCTGCATTCTCGTCATTCGCAGCTGACGCGCGTTCCACAGTGCGCAACCTCTCTTCCAGGTGCCAGACCTCTCTGCTGCAATTTCGATTTTTCGCGATATATCTCGCCTTCCGTTTATCTCTCCTCCTCCGCAGGCGGAAGTGGAAAGAAAAAAAAAAGGAAATCTCAAATGTCTCTTGTGGCGACGTTTGGAATTGCCCGCGTAAAAATACTTCTCGCTTGATGATTTCCGTCCGTAGGCGCTTTATTAAAGTTCCTCGGCGACAC